ACATCTGCAAGAGCCTTTAGCTACGCACAGGAGGTGGGAAAACTTCCCCTCCGCCACGGTCATCAACGGCGGAGGGTTTAATGATCTGACCATAAATTCGGCAAAGAGAAAGCTGGACAAATTGGTCGACGCGGCTCCCCCGCAAATCGTGACCTTCGAAAGGCTGAAAGGCAAATCAAAGACGACCACCTTTTACCTCGAGGAGCTTCTAGGAGGGCCCCCCAATTAGGCCATCCCTATTCTGATAAGGGAGAGAATGGCCAACTTCGACGTGCATCGCGTCCTGGTCGAAGAGGGAAGTTTCGTCGACGTGATGTATAGCCAGCTGTTTAGAACCCTGCAGCTCAATGACTCTCGCCTTTCACCATACGTGGGGGTATGTGGAGCTTATGGTCACATTCGACGAGGATACTGCTACCAGGCAGGTCAAGGTCCTCTTCCTCGTCATCGACTGCCCCTCCCTCTACAACTGCATCCTCGGGGGAGGGGGGTCAACACTGGCAGAGTTGACCGCGGTTCCCTCCACCGTCCACTTAAAAATGAAGTTCTACACCAAGAGGGAACAGGTCTCCACTATTCAAGGCGATCTAGCAGCTGCCTGAAGGTGCTTCAACGCGGCATCCAAGGGACACAACACAGTCGACACCAGTACACGACCCTCCAAGAAAGTTGCAACTACGCGATCATAGCCTTAGTGGTCAGAGCCCGTCAGAGTAGAAGAACAGAGGGCCCCTCCAAAGGTCGACTCGATCTCTCTGGACATTCGCTTCGACCAGGATAAGCCCTCTAGTAGCGAGCAAGTTCCCCTCCGACCAATTCTGGACGGGGACTTCGAGCTCGTCCCCCTCGGTGAAAACCCAAGCAGAGGAGTGAAGATTGGCATTAGACTCCCCGACTTGGCGAGAAAGCAGATCAAGGCCTGCTTGAGGGAAAATGTGGATCTATTTGCATGGAGTGCTGCGGAGATGCCCGGTCTCGATCCTGAGGTCGCCTGTCATTAACTCGCCATTGATCCAGCCGCCAGGGCAGTAGTACAACGCAGACGAAGGCAGCCTCCGGAGAAGACGGAGGCTGCTGAAAAAGCTGTAAAAGACCTCCTAGAGGTAAATTTTATTTCTGAAGCCCGGTATTCAACCTGGCTATCAAATGTTGTACTTGTTAAGAAAAATAATGGCAAATGGCAAATGTGCGTTGACTATATCGATCTTAACCGGGCATGCCCCAAAGATGCATTTCCTTTACCTAATATTGATATGCTGGTCGACAACTCGGCCGACTATAAAATTTTATCGTTTATGGATGCCTATTCGGGTTACAACCAAATCCCAATGGCAGTAGGCGACAAACAATGCACTGCTTTCATGACTATCTCAGGCAACTATTACTACAACGTAATGCCATTCAGTCTGAAAAACACAGGAGCAACGTATCAGCGAATGATGAACAAAGTCTTCCATAACCAAATCGGGGATATGATCAAGGTATACATGGACGAAATGATCGTCAAGTCCCGAGTAGACACCAACCATGCTGCTCATCTCAGGGAAGTCTTTGCCCAAGCGAGGCAATGCAAAATGAGGTTTAACCCCGAGAAGTGCACGTTCGGGGTCAAGATGGGCAAGTTCCTCGGCTTCTACTTAACAGAACGAGGAATCAAAGCCAACCCCGACAAGTGCCGAGATTTCTCTGACTTCCCTACACCTACGTTGAAAAAATCCATACAAGTCTTGAATGGCATGCTCGCCTCACTATCCTGTTTCGTTGGGAAATCCGCTCAACACGCCATCCATTTCTTCAAACTCCTTCGCAAGGAAGCAAATTTCAAATGGACCGAGGAATGTGAGCAGGCCCTGCTCCATCTCAAACAGAGCCTCTCGCAGCCGCCCATGTTATCGAGACCAGTCGACAGGGAGACCCTGTTTCTATACCTGTCCGTCTCGGTCGAGTCGTCAGCGCGGCCCTCATTCGTGAGACTCATGACGGACAAAAACCCATTTATTTCACGAGCAAGGTGCTTCAAGGGCCCAAAGTTAGGCACCAACAGATAGAGAAGGTGGCTATGTCCCTTATCAACACAGCGAGAAGGCTTATACACTATTTCCTCGCGCACACAATCGTGGTGCGAACAGACCAGCCCGTGAAACAACTTCTAGGTCGACCAGACATGGCGGGTCGAATGTTGAAGTGGTCCTTGGGACTTTCAGAATTCGATGTCCAGTACGAGAGCAGGAAGGTCCTGAAAGCACAGACTCTGGCCGATTTCATCTCAGAGATGACCGCTCATAACCCCCCGCAGGGAAGGAGCACAAGTGGATCATCTTTGTCGACGGAGCCTCCAGCTCGACCGAGAGCGGTGCGGGGATCCTCCTCGAAAACGAGGAAGGCGTGGTGATCGAGCATTCACTAAACCTCTCCTTTCCAACCTCGAACAACCAGGCAGAATACAAGGCCTTACTCGCAGGTCTAAGACTGGCCAAGGATTTAGGCACTCGTGAGATACAAAATTTCACTGACTCTCAACTCGTCGCGTCCCAAGTTCAAGGGGAATACCAGGCTAAGAACAACAACCTCATCGAATATCTGAACTTGGTTAGAGAACATATGAAAAAGTTCGACTGGACAAAAATTCCGCATGTACCACACGAGCAAAACACACGGGCCGACATACTTTCAAAGCTCGCAAGTACGAAAAAGAAAGGCGGAAACAAATCCGTCATACAAGAATCTCTATCTCGACCGAGCATCGAAAAATCCACGACTTTACCCGGGGTAAATGCCATCGGAGACAGCTCGTGCTGGATGACCCCGATATTCAACTTCTTAACGAAGGGGGAACTCCCCCTGGACCAAAGAGAAGTTGCCGCGACCAAACGACGAGCATGCTCCTACGTGGTACTCGAGCACAAACTATATCGTAGGGGATTTTCCATCCCACTCTTGAAGTGCATCGAAGAATCCTTGGTCCCCGAGATACTACGAGAAATACACGAAGGGATTAATGCCCAACACATGGGCGGTAAGTACCTAGCGAGGAAAACACTGTGAGCGGGGTACTACTGGCCGAAAATGCAGCAAGATGCCAAAGACCACGTCAAGAAATGTGACAAGTTCCAAAGGCACGCTGATATGCACCTCGCCCCAGCACACAAGCTGAATACACTATCGTCCCCATGGCCATTTGCCGAAAAATTCGCATATTATTGAATCAACTGAACTTCTTACCTTATACCATATCGATCTTTCAAATCAGATATAGTCTCGTCCATGCTTAATGATGACAAAAAGGATGAATAACATGAATTCAAATGTTTGATCTATATCAGTTCAGTAAGTTATACATATCATTTGATTCAATATATTGTAGTATGCCAATCTATATCAGGTCAGTAAGTTATACATATAATTTGATTCAATATATTGTAGTGTACAATAATAAAACAACTTAAAGGGGAAGATAGAAAGAAAAAAAAACATGAAAAAAAAGAAAGAGGAATACTCTCAATACTATTGAAACACAACCAAAGTAAATATATATTGATACTGTCATGAACCTTGAAAGGTAATGATCATGATATTTAAATCAAAGTCTTCAAAGTGTTGATAGTGAAAATAAACACACCAGAGCAAGTTTTGAAGTAAATAGGCAGAAAAAAACTATGCAATATATTATCTCCATACGTTCAACTATGGCAGCAAAATCAAGACCTTTTCTCTTTTCCCTCTTTTGTATAGTATTTTGTTCATCAAAGCTATCAGGCATATCATCACTGGCAGAGCTATCTCTGTTAATAACTTGTCCATCATTAAATCTTTCATTGTTTGAAAGATTTGTCCTCATGAACCTGCAGAAACATATATAGATATTACAAACAAAAAGTAGTCAAAATCATCCGAATAAAAGATAAACATGGTAGCTAGCATGTTTAAAACTGAAAATTTGAAAATTATTCACAGCATTAACAATTTATGAATAAGCAACGGTCCTAACTCTAGAATACAAAGTGTCGAGCATCATTCCCAAAGTCTAAACAAAATTCCTCCTGCACTTGTTATACTTAGTTGCTAAACTTAACATTTCCTGAATTATTACCAAAAAAAAAAAAATAAGATAGAGATTTACTCGAATACATAGTATATATTATATCCAAGAATCTTAACTTAGCTGAACAATTTGTTCATTAGAGAAGCAAAGCATCAGAGCTACTCACATCAACAGTATCTAAAGACCCTAACAAAATGTAAAAGAAAAGATGAAAAGAAGAAAAAAAATTATGTTAGAGTTTGACTTGTGAAATTGTAAAATCATGTGTGGAATAATCGATTCCATCATATTCGACTGTGAAAGAGAGAATAGTATGATAATTGTAGAGACACTTGAAATTAGATAAAACTATATGATATATAACACTTAACAATATAATAAATATCTCCCGACTCTCAAAATAATTATTAAGAGTTATATTATTTACGTCACTAAAAATCTGCAATTAATCATAGCATATATAACTGCTAATTAATTTGATCGGACTAATACAAATGGCTGATCAAGTGAACTCAAAGCTAGCCACCACTTTCCTAATGGCCAATAAACAATAAGCCGTGGTTGCCACTTAATTATCTTAATTTAATTCTTTTGTAAAAGCAATTACGCACTACTATAATATATACTACGTTGTTCGGGAAAAAAATTTTACTTTAGGATTATGAAAGGTGATAATGAATAAAGTATTGCATCTGAAATTTTGCCTATAAAATAATTGTTGATAATCATTACTACAATAAGCATTGTTCCTGACAAAAGTGCAAACTCGTGCTTCATACGTTATGCAATTGCTGCACATTCATGTTGGACCGAAGCAATGTTTGTAGCCAAACACTTATCAATTCCAAAACACACAATCCAACTCAACATCAACCATCAACAGAGTCTCAAAGACACAATCCTAACTCAAATAAAACAATGCTGGAATCTAAAAACACTAGAATCAATCTACGCCACAATGTTCAAAACCAACTTCAACCAAGATTGCTTCCTCATGAACCAATTCATAACCGCATCATCTTCAATCTCTTCTCACACAAACCTCGCAACTTCCACTTTCACACAGATAAAAAAACCAAACACTTTAGTTTACAACGCACTCATCAAAGCCTGCGTTCGTTGCCACTCATCAAACCAAGCACTACTACATTACATAAACATGCTCCAAAACGGTGTCTTACCATCAAGCTATTCATTCTCCTCTTTGATTAAGGCCTGCACTTTGTTAACAGATTCTGTAAACGGTAAAGCACTTCATGGACACGTGTGGAAAAACGGTTTCCATTCACACGTGTTTGTTCAAACTACTCTGGTTGAATTCTATTCCAGTTTGAGTCATGTGCGTGATTCAAGAAAGGTGTTTGATGAAATGTCTGAGAGAGATGATTATGCTTGGACGACGATGATTTCAGCATACGTGCGCAATAACAACGTTGAATCTGCAGAGAAACTGTTTGATGAAATGCCCGAGAGAAAAAACGCTGCTACATGGAATGCGGTGATTGATGGGTATGCAAAATTAGGCAATGTTGAGCGTGTTGAGTTTTTGTTTGATAAAATCCCTTCTAAGGATATAATCTCGTGGACAACTTTGATGAGTTGTTATTTGAAGAACAAAAGATATTATGAAGTTGTGAAGCTTTTTAATAAAATGGTGAATGAGGGAATGGTGGTTCCTGATGAAGTTACTATAACAATTGTGATTTCAGCTTGTGCTCATTTGGGTGCAGTTGGGTTAGGAAAAGAGGTGCATTTTTATTTGATGGTAAATGAGTTTTGTATTGATGTTTATATTGGATCTTCGTTGATCGATATGTATGCGAAATGTGGAAGTGTAGAAAGGTCGCTTTTGGTGTTTTATAAATTACAAGACAAGAATCTTTTTTGCTGGAATTCCATGATTGATGGACTGGCTGCACATGGCTATGCGAAAGAGGCGTTAAAGATGTTTGAGAAAATGGAAAGAGAGGGAATAAAGCCAAATGGAGTTACATTTGTTAGTGTTTTAACTGCTTGTACTCATGCAGGGTTTATACAAGAGGGTCGTCGTTTGTTTGTTAGTATGATTGAGGATTATTGTATTGATCCTCAAGTTGAACATTATGGATGCATGGTTGATTTATTGAGCAGAGGTGGTTTGCTTGAGGATGCTTTGGAGATGATTAGAGGAATGAGGTCCGAACCGAATGGTTTCATTTGGGGTGCCTTGTTGAATGGGTGTAAGGTTCATAGAAACATGGGTATTGCTCTTGTTGCGGTTCGGAATCTGAGGGTTATGGAGCCGAGTAACAGTGGGCATTATAGTCTTCTTGTTAATATGTATGCTGAAGTGAATAGGTGGTGCGACGTCGCGAAGATCAGGACTGAAATGAAAGATTTGGGTGTGGAGAAGACATGTCCTGGGTCTAGCTGGATTGAAATCAACAAGGAACTTCATGTTTTTGCTGCGTCTGATAAATATCACCCATCTTATAGTCAGGTTCACTTGTTTCTAGTTGAGCTGGACGAGCAGCTGAGACTATCTGGTTATGTCCCTGAAATGGGGTCTGTTCTTTATTGACTTTGGCTATTCAAGTAGGAAGGTTCTTAGAAGGATGATTGTGCTGTACATAGCTAAATTGTTGAAGACAACCCTTAATAAGTTCTAGCAAGGTAGGCTCAAAAGTTTTCTTAGCCTTCTTTCTACCCTGCCAATTTTTTTCTGCTATTTTACTGTGAGCCAAAAAATTAAATTAGATGTTTGGTGATGGTCTGTGTAAACTACAAGGCTCGGTAAAGGTTTCTTTGAATACATTTGGATCCAAGACCTAATTTGTCTTTGGTTTTGCGTCTTTGATAGCGGTCTCCCTAGTAAATATCTCTCTCTCATTGTTTGGAGCAATGGCATTGCAATAGATTTGAGAATCTTTTCTTCGACATTGTTTTACATAGCATGCTAGACTTGTTTTTATTTACAACTATTATGTTACTGAACAGGAATTTGAGAAGTAATGTCTCTCAAAAGGTACTTTGACAATTGAAAAAACCTGATCCGACTCAATAATATAAATATTTTGATTGATATTTACTCTGTGGCATTGTAACAGAAAATGAAGAGTAATTGGGAGATCTCAAGGTGGGTTGTGTTCAATCAAATACATTCCATCTTCTCAGATAAGTACTTATTTGATTTTGATCTCAGATTTAGCCTTTTTTATTTTATTTATCTTTCTTTCAGATATAACAGTATTTAGGTTTATAACCATTAACCACGCAATACTATCTATCTAGTCCTGTTGGACATTCAAAGGAACCATAATATATTTAGTTGATATAGTTCCTTAATACAACATCCATGGTTAGACTGCGAGACTATCTTTCATTAACTATGTAATTTTTTTATTATTATCACTCTATACATGTTTTAAGCAATCAGTTCTATCTTCTTTCACATTTTTTCCTTTATTTTGCATTAATAATGTGTTTTTCTTCATGAAAGTTCTTTTCTATTATTTAATAAGTATATGATTTTCATTTGGGACCTATTCTATCAACATCCAATAAAGCTATGGTGTTTGTGTGTTCTCATATTATTTTAGACATCGATTTTCTATAGTTATATACATTTTTGTTTGCTCTCTCGGCCTTCTTTGCATCCTGGTTGTTTTGGTTTCTACGGTTGAGCCTATTTCATTGGAAGAGAGAGCTTCTGCATTGTGATTATTAGTCTCTAACAAGCTGGGTTTAATTACTTCTGTCATGTAAGACTAATGTTATGTTGGGTTATCCCTCCTATTTGGAGTGGTCCAAATAATGTGGGTTAGTGGTCCATGTGTGTGTAAGTCTTTGTTATTATCTAATAAAGAGGAATGCGGTTAATGTGTGAAAAACAACAAGTGAAAAGTGAGGAGAGAGAAAATTCAGCAGCCACATCAAAATCCCGCAGTCTCAATTCTGCACAAATCAGTTCCAGAAAATCGGAACTTGCGCACAATCCAACGGTCGGATCGTCCTGAAGTTTTGACACAACGTTCATGACTCATACGAGTACATTCTGAATGATGGTGATTGGATTCAGAGCTTTCTAAGTCGGTCTATCAAGTCCATCTTTGAGGTCAGAATTACTTGGTGTTTTTTGGGTTGTTTTGTCTCTCTCTTGATTCTTGTTTTATTCCAAGATTGATTACAAATCTTGATGATGTTTATGTATGCCTCTAGCTAGTGTTAGAGAAAACCTTGTTTGTACCCATTGTTGATTATAATGGAGATATTAAGTGGCCTACGGGTCCCTTGGTTTTTTACTCCTAGTCAACGGAAGTTTTTCCACGATAAAGTTGTGTTGTGTTGTGTGTTTATGTTGATTGTCTCTTTTGTCAAAAAAAATGTTGATTGTCTCTAAGTTGCATTTTATATTTGGGAGAGTTTGTATTGTTGGATTATTTCGTTGTGTTTGTTATTTCCTCCCAACAAGTGTTATCTAGAGCCATGATTTGGTTTGTGTAACGATGGAGACGAACATCTAGGATGGTGATTTTGAATGGTTCCAATTATAATGTTTGGAAAGGAAAAATGGAAGATTTACTTTATGTGAAAGGTTTTCACTTGTCGGTTTTCTCTAATGAAAAATCCAATGGAAATAGTGATGAAGAATGAACTTTGTTGCATAGACAAGTTTGTGGTTATATTCGTCAATGGGTGGATGATAATGTTTTAAATCATGTGAGCTCGGTGACCCATGCTCGTTCTCTTTGGACCAAACTTGAGGAGTTGTATGCAAGAAAGACGGAGAACAAAAAATTGTTCTTGTTCAAGCAATTAATGTCATTGAAGTATAGTGATGGTTCACCAATGACCGATCACTTGAACACTTTTCAAGGTATTCTAAATCAAATGTCGGCGAAGAATCTTACTTTTGATGATGAAATTCAAGGTTTTTGGCTTCTTGGTACTTTGCCTAATTCTTGGGAGACTTTTAGGACATTCTTGTCTAACTCTGCTCTGAATGGTATTATCTCGATGGATTTGACTAAAAGTAGTGTGTTGAATGAGGAGTTAAGGCGTAAGTCACAATGTTCTTCTTCACATTCCGAGGTGTTTATTACCGAATCAAGGGGGGATATCGAAGTAGAGGTTCAAGTAATCGTGGAACTTCACGTGCTAAATCACAAGAAGGCTCTAATAGATTCTCTCATATCGAGTGTCATTATTGTGGGAAAAAGGGACACATAAAGAGGTATTGTCGTAAGTTGAAAAGGGAAAACAAGAAGAAGAGCTACAACAATGACAAAAAAGAAAGTAACAATAATGAAGATGTTGCTATTGTTGATAATTTCTTTATTGTTTGTGATAGTTGTGTTGAGAAATTCAATATATCATGTGATGAGATAAATTGGGTGGTTGATAGTGGTGCTTCTACTCATGTAACCTCGAGACGTGATCTTTTTTCAACTTATGAGACTGGTGACTTTGGGGTTGTTCGTATGGGAAATAATGGGCAAGCTAATGTCATTGGAATATGAGATATTTATGTCGAAATTAGCAATGAGACTACTCTAATTCTCAAAGGTGTGAAACACGTTCCGAAACTTCGATTCAATCTTTTATCCATGGGAAAGTTGGATAATGAAGGGTATGATGATTCTTTTTCGAGCAACGAATGGAAGTTAAAGAAAGGCCCAATGGTGGTTGCTAAAGGAAAAAGGAATTTTAACTTGTATGTCGTCCAACTTGGGGGTTCGAAGTGCTACATCAACACTTGTGACAATGATAGCTCATCCGAATTATGGCACAAGCGTTTGGGTCATATGAGTGAAAAAAGTTTGAGCATTTTGGCAAAGAAGAATGTGTTGTATGGTGTCTCTGATGAAAAGTTGAGAAAGTGTTCGCATTGTTTGACGGGTAAGTAAAGACGAGTTTCCTTTATGTCATTCGAACCAAAGAGGAAATTAGAAGTGTTAGATTTAGTACGTTCCGATGTGTGTGGTCCGATGAAGACACGGTCACTTGGTTGTGCATATTACTTTGTGACTTTCATTGATCAAGTGTTAGATACCTTCAAGTCATTTCAAGCATTGGTTGAAAGAGAAACAGAGAAAAAACTCAAGTGTATCTGAACCGATAACGGGGGAGAGTATGTTTGATCCTTCGACAAGTATTGTCAAGATCAATGTATATGTCATCAAAAGTCTCCTCCAAAGACACCACAATTGACTGAGTTAGCCGAAAGAATGAATAAAATTTTGGTGAAAAGGGTGAGATGTTTACTTTCTCAATCAAAGTTGCTGAAATACTTTTGGGGAGAAACATTGAGCACAGTTGTACATCTTTTAAACCTCACTCCATGTGTTCCATTGAAGTTTAATGTTCCAAACCATGTTTGGAGTGGCAAATATGTTTCTTACGATCATCTTTGGGTGTTTGGGTGCATGGCATATATGCATATTTCGAAGGATGAGAGATTGAAATTGGATGAGAAATCGAAGAAATGTGTATTTGTTGGGTATGGACTTGATGAGTTTGGGTATCGATTCTTTGATCCAGTTCAATGGAAGCTTATTCGTAGTCGTGATGTCGTATTCATAGAGGATTATACCATTGAGGACATCGACAAAGTTGAGAATAAAGATCAGATTTTTAAAGATGAAGAAATGGTTGATACAAACTCAACTAATATTGCTCCAACTCCTATCACTTTCGAAGTTGTTCCAATTCAAAATCAAAATATGAATTTGAATGTTGATAATGCTTTAAATCCTAATAATATTGTTGATGTAGGTGATACAAAAGACGTTGTTGAAAATGAGGTTGATCAAGAGGTTGAAAGTTTTGAGAAACCGGTTGCTTATAATGATTTGAGGCGGTCTACTCATGATAAAAGGCCTTTCGTTCAATACCCCTCGAACGAGTATGTTTTTCTTACCGATGGTGAAGAACTTGAAAATTTTAAAGAAGTTTTGGTGGGTGAGAAAAAAGGAGTGGATGAATGCCATGAAGGATGAAATGCAATCACTTCCTGAGAATAATACTTTTGAGTTAGTGGAGTTGCCAAATGGTAAGAGAGCATTGAAGAATAGATGGGTTTATCGGATTAAACGAGATTAGTGTACTTCTCAAAGAAGATACAAGGTTCACTTGGTGGTGAAAGGTTTTAAACAACATGAAGGTGTTGACTTCGGCGAGATTTTTTCTCCGATTGTGAAGATGCAATCTATTCGAGTGGTTCTTGGGCTAGACGCTAGTCTTGATTTGGAAATAGAGAAAATGAACGTGAAAAAGGATTTTCTTCACGGTGATCTACATGAAGAAATTTACATGGAGCAACCAGATGGATTCCAAGAGAAGAGAAAAGAAGACTATGTTTACAAATTGGTAAAAAGTATTTATGGTTTGAAACAAGCACCTCGCCAATGGTATCAAAAGTTTAACTCGGTGATGATTGAACATGGGTACAAGATAACTAAGGCCGATCATTGTATGTTTTTCCTAAATTTCTCCAAAGGTGATTTCATTATTCTCTTGCTTTATGTGGATGATATGCTAATTGTTGGAAATAGTATTTCAAGAATTAAAGAGCTGAAGAACACTTTGAGTGAATCTTTTGATACGAAGGATTTAGGAGAGGCTCGGAAAATTCTTGGTATTGAAATTGTTCGACATCGAAATGAGAAGAAGTTGTACTTGTCACAAGAAATGTATTTGGAGAAAGTCCTTCGGCATTTTAGTATGGATAAGGCTAAAGCGGTGAACATTCCACTTGCTTCTCATTTCAAGCTTAGTCATAATTATGTCCATCTACAGATGAAGAAAAGTTGAGTATGAAGAATATTCTATACTCGTCAGCTGTTGGTAGTTTAATGTATGCTATGGTTTGTACAAGACCCGATATTGCTCATGACGTGGGAATGGTGAGTCCTTATCTCTCAAATCCGGGAAAAGGTCATTGTGAGGCTGTGAAGTGGGTGATGAGATATTTGCGTGACACTTCGAATTTGAGACTAACTTTGGGATGCAAGAAATCTATGTTGGTTGGATATATAGATTCAGATTTAGCCGGAAGCTTAGATGATCGAAAATCCACTCTGGAGTATATGGTGACTTTTGCCGGGGGAGTTGTGGCTTGGCAATCAAAGTTGCAAAAGTGTGTTACACTCTCTACTACTGAAGTCGGGTTTATAGCCGTCGTGGAAGCGTCAAAAGAGTTGTTATGGTTGAGGAAATTTACAATGGAACTTGGTGTGAAACAAGAAAAGTATGTCTTGTTTTGTGATAATCAAAGTGCGATTCAGTTACCAAAGAATTCCTTCTTTCACTCGAGGTCGAAGCATATTGATGTTCGTTATCATTGGATTCGTGATGCATTAGATTTCAAGTTGATGGAGCTTGAGAAGATTCACATCGATGACAATGGTTCAGATATTTTGACGAAGGTGTTGCCTAGGGGAAAATTTGAGTTTTATCGTTTGGAAGCTGAATTGGTATTGCCCTCCAATTAGTCGGTCGGGGGATTTTTTTGGGCTATCCCTCCTATTTGGAGTGATCCGGATAATGTGGGTTAGCGGTCCATGTGTGTGTAAGCCTTTGTTATTATCCAACAAAGAGGAATAGGGTTTATGTGTGAAAAACAACAAGTGAAAAGAAGTGAGAAGAGAGAAAAATCAGCAGTCACATCAAAATCCTAAAGTCCAAAAAATTGAAGCTTGCGAACAATCCAACGGTCGGATCGTCCTGAAACTTTGTCACAACTTTCATGACTCATAGGAGCACATTCTGAACGGCGGAGATTGGATTTGGAGCTTTCTAAGTTGGTTCGTCAAGTCCATCTTTGAGGTCATAATTTCTTGGTATTTTTTGGGTTGTTTTGTCTCTCTTGATTATTGTTGTATTCTAAGATTGATTGCAAATCATGATGATGTTTATGTATGCCTCTAACTAGTATCGGAGAGAATCTTGTTTGTACTCATTATTGATTATGGATGAAGGCATGAACAAATAAAGAGTCGTGTATACGAGGAGGCTCATGTGAAAATAGAAAAGTGAGGCAAAGACTTTGGGAACTTCAATAAAGAGAAGAAGCTAGTTAAGACAAATCTCAAATGAAAATAATGTACATAGAAGTTTACATTCTCTTTTTTTTTTTTTTTCCGTAGGAAACTAATAGAAACCAACTTATATATATAAGAAAATAGGGAAAATCCTTTTGAATTATAAAACAGTACCGCAGAACTTCGAGGGTTCGCACCTCTCAATGTCAAAATAACCCCTTTTCCTATCCAATTCCAAGATGATTGACTCTTCCCTCTCTTCCCCTATTTATTCTAAATCTAAACACACATAAATAACTCCCCACTAACCACTCTTAATAATATAATAATTTCTATTTAAAAACATAGTTTATAAGTCATACGAGAAGTCTAACAATACTCCGACCCTAAAAATTCACCTTGTCCTTAAGGTGAAAGAATGTATCCTCCCGGATCCTATAACTTGAAGTAGAGGGACAAAGCAAGGCGTGAAACATGATAACTAATGTCTGGATCATACACTGTTTTGGGTGGTATGTTTGACCCAAAACATAGCATGACATCAGTAGGCATTAACAATGGTTGGATCAAATCAGAGGAAAATCCACCCTTCACCAAGGACCTGTCAGGACCTGGCAGCTTAAGCAGATGTGGGGGTAGGTTGTCCAACTTTAGAGATGTCTATCTCTCTTTGGTAGTTGTTCTAACCAGTATCACCCTTGATTCAAACACAATATTCACCCTTGACCATCAAATTATTTGCCAATACCAAGAAATTTGCAAGAATCCGCCTTTGTCTCTTGTCGCTGTTCCACAATGACATTCACGTTGAAATCTTCTACATCTCTTTCTACTTTTGCAATTTCTACCTCTTCCTTGTTTTTCTCTTCTGCTGTCTGAATGAGATCAGAATTTCCTTGGGAAAATTCTTCTTGTCGAAAGTTAAATGTGCGAGGAATCGTCAACTCTATTTCCAATTCAAGTTCTTCATCGGATATAGGTAGAATGTCTCTATACTCTGGTTTAAAATGTCAAAGTAGTGCAACATGAAATGTTCGCCAACTAGCTTGTAGGTGGTGTTGACTCCACCGGTGCCACCATATGGAAGCACGGTTTCTCAAGGCTTTCACAGCCTCTGACAACTTCTCACTGTCAGGTATTCCCACTACATCAAAATACTTCTCAATACAAATCAGCCATCAATAGGCATCACAGCTGCTGTCAAACTGCAGCATGTCCATTTTCTCTTGTTGTGAATTTCTTACTCAGGATCATACCAGTTGATAGAAACCAACAGATATATAAAAGAAAATAGGAAAAATCCCTTTGAATTACAAAACAGTACCGCAGAACTTCGAGGGTCTGCACTTCCGAATGTCAAAATAGCCCCTTTTCCTATCCAATTTCAAGATGATCGACTCTTCCCCTCTTTATTTTAAACCTAAACGCACATAAATAACTCTCCAATAACCACTCTTAATATTATTATAACTATCCACTAACCACTCTTAATAATATAATAATTGCTATTTAAAGACATAATTGCTAAGTCATATAAGAAGTTTAACAGAAACATGCTGCTATAGGCCAATCCACATTAGTCCGGTAAAATAGGCTAACCTCTGTGTTGTAAATTAATATGCAGTATGCAACTTATCCTATCCTTTGTAATGAAAAACAAATCATCATCTGCTTAGAAAGTATTTCGAAATAAATTAAAGAATTTAGATAAATAAATATTAAAAATGTTGATAGAAAGGGGTGCTACATTTTTACTATTGATATAGTAATCTCAAGTTATAGTACTGTAAAAAGCTCAGAAGATGATGTAGAAGCTTTCAGAAGAATACTTCATCAAAAGATACATTAGAGTGTATCATTTAAAATTCGTCATCAGAAGGCCACATTAGAGTACACCAATAGATTTATCATACAATCGTAATTCGATTTCACAATGTATTCCTTGTTGTTGGTAGTTGATTTGTATTATTTGCTAACTTGTTATTAGCCGCACGATTCATGTTAATGATTTCTTCTTGTGGCCAAAAAGGCAAAAACATACAGGCAATTCTTGCTTGGCAATCTCCCTATATTGAAAGTAAACTTACTTTCCTTTCTCATTTGTGTGGCAAATACTTTGATCATTCAGAACCAAAGATCGGCAGCCTGAAAGCCGATCAGGTGGAAATGGTCGTCGACGGCTGGTCAAGGCACCACAAAGCAGGGTTGTTTATGTAGGAAGTTATTCATGAAGATTAACCCGGAATCAACAGATTTTGTCGTGGGAAGCTCGTTATGACTGGATGCAAATAGTAAGTAGCTGTCTTTTAGTTGTTGTTTCTATATTTGCTATATTAAAAATTAGTAAGGGAGCATAATTACCATGATTTTTAGGCTAGATTAGTACTCATCTTTCTATCCTTTGTTTTCTATAAACATCTTGTGCATTATTCATCCAATCAAGGAAATACATGTTCATTTTGTCAGTGTTTTTTCTTTATGGTAATCCTAGCCTATCTAGATTTCATTGGACCACCTATTATTAGGTTTTTGCTATCAGCTCAATCGGGTTACACATCAAAAAAAAAAAATCAACTCCAAAACACAGACCAAAACTGAAACAACACCAACATACAGTCTCAAAAACAGAATCCTTAGCCAAATAAAACAATGCTCATTAACTATGAATAATTTATAGAAACCAATTACAAAAGTCATCAACTATGAATAATTTGCAGGAAGCCAAACGATTACAGCTATCATTCAACATAAACCACACATTTAACAGAGCTCCGGGGGAACGACAACAATTCAATCTGCATTTCAAGCTTTTCCTGGGAATTCAAAGAAGGCAAACAGTGGAGTCTCATGCTCTCCAAAGAAATGGAATTCAGCAACATGAGTTGTACAAAACGCAATTCATCTTTCTCTCCTCTATAATTTGTAATAGTACAACTTTTTAAGTCCAAAGAAAGGCGTTGAGTCAAAATATTTGGGAAAATCTCAAGATTGTAAATATTTGGTGTTAGAGGCATATCAAGGAGAAAATCCTGAAGCTTGGGACAACTATCCAATATATAAAATACAAAAGTCCAGCGAATAAGTATTCCAAAGAAAATCTCCAGATGAGTTAAATTGGTAAACACAGGAACACCCCCATACATCTGCAACAATTATGAAAAAGAAATCAAATTTTAATATAATATAATTTTCCTGCAGTTAAAAACAAAAAAAGAAGGAATACAATTCAAACCTTTTCTAACCGAAGAAACTCAACATTGGAAAAGACTTTCATATCAACATCATAAATAGACAAATTAGAAACATTTGCCCTGACCAAATTGGTTAACATTTTAACCTCTTCATCATCGTAGTCGTGTGACCAATACCCAGTTGATAAATCTTTCATTTCCAAATCTTCAAGAATTGGACAAGAATTAAGAATGTCCAAAATAAACCCGTGTTCGAAAAAATGAACACTATTCAAATGTAAAATTTTAAGTGAGGGAAGGTTGGCAGATAGAAAAAGATCCAAGCATACAAATTTCAGCTTTAGAACAACAAGGTTACTAAAACGAAAAATAAAACAATTGATATTGAATTTCCAGGTATCAGACATATGAATATCAATGTACTCCATTCTGCGTTCTATGGCCATTAACAATAACATTGAACTGAATTCACCCATAAAGCTATCATGAGATTCATGACATCTTAGGCGAAAGCTTTTGATTGGTTGGTGCTCACTTCTTTCGATAATCGTGAGATTTACCATATCTTTAAAGCTAATGTATGGTTCTTCTTTTTTGAAAAACCTTAGATCATCAAAGTCGAGATTGGGACTAGGACATAGAAGCCACAGTGGCTTCCACCCCTTTGAAAGTAGACGTGTGGTAAAAGCATCTTCAGATGGGAGAAATGAGATAATGTGACCGAGGATTTCATCTGGCAACTTACTGATCCTGTCATCCTCCATCTCTAAAACTTGTATTCTAAATGGTCTCGTGGATGGCATGGAGTATTTATAGAATTTTTCTATAATACTAGTAGTAATTAATCTCCATAATTATCATTTGCTTTCTCGAGTAAGAACTGAAAAGATGCATTTATTGTTATGCACTGCACATAGTATGATATATGATGATGATCCTTTCAATTTTTTTAGAGGAATTGAATGTGACGACTGCATAAATTATGTTTGTTTCCAACAAATTAGAAGTTGGATTTATAGTTTTATACACTCAAACCGTCTGACTTCCTTAATCTTTCTTCTAAAAAAATTGTGGGTTTTTTTAAAACACTGTATTATTTGAACACCAAATTTTAAATACCTTATTTAACATTATATATCAATGTTTTTGTCTATTTTATTTTTTAATCTTATTGTTGGCTCCTAAATTGGACACCCTTGTTTTTATTAATATCAGCTATTAAAGTTGAAGGATGTTTTCGACCAGCTGGGTCTGTCGAAATGCCCATCGAAAGGTGGCAATGTACTTAGAGGATTTCTTCCAAGGGAGAAGTTGGTTGCCTTCGACGTCGAAGGTGTTTCTCGTCGAAGATGCTTCTCGACGAAGGTGTTCGATGGTTCAGAGTGGGACGGTTTGAAATTCAAACGTTTGGAGGGAAAACGGTTTCCAGCGGTTACCAAGTGCAACGTGCAAAGATCTGGAGCGTCGAACGCTGAGAACGTGCCAAGTGGAGTCATCTCGAAGCAGTGTAACTGCCCGACGGTTACTTGGGATGTTTTAGTATAAATAGTAGTAGTTCACGCAGTTTTTCGCGTGTGTTCACAATTATATACAAAGTCACTCATATAGATTCGAGTACCCAGCGTGTGAGAAAGAATTGTTGAGAATGTATGTGTGAAACACCACTTTTATTAATCAAAGTCATTTACTTTCCAGAAACTTTACTTGCTTTCTTCTTTACTTTTCCTGTTGAAGCCCTTTATTTCAAGCCTTCATTTATTTTATCAAGCCCATTTCTTCATGCAATTTACTTAAAGCCTATTTATTTTCTTGTCATTTAACCATTATTCAACTTAATCAAAACCTCAAAATCAACCATGTCTTAGGATCAATCTGATCGATCCTGCGAGTAACCAAATAAGTAACCATTTGGAGGATCAGCGGTTGTTTACCAATAACCACGGTAAACAAATTGGCACACCCGGTGGGACTGTGTGTTGATTGTTGAAGTTTAACCTTTTTTAACGTAATCTCATCTTTTTCGAGGAGTGTTGCATGTTATTGAGAAGTGGTAGAATATACACTAACGATACCAATACTCTCAGAAGAAGGGAAGAGATGGCGAATCCGCCAAACAATAACGAAATCCCACAAACGAATGTGGGAGTAACGGTTATCCCGACCGTAAGTGAAGCGATAACCGCTGGTTCAACACCAGCAGTAACGGTCACAACAACGGGGCCATTACCTCCGTTCACAGGCCCCAGAGTGCCTTTGGGAACTCCCCCACCAAGGGGAAATTTAGGCACAAGGCCTTATGTTCCCCCAGGATTTATGACAGGCGGTCATAATCGAGAACCACTCTATGGCATGTCAACTTCTGACTTGGCTAGCCTGACGAATGCTGCGTCCACTTTTTCAGACCCTTTAGTGAGTTCCTCTTCGCCACTCCAAGGTTCTGGAGTAGGTATGGCGAATAGAAATAGGACCCAACTCTTAGGAGGAACGTCCCAGGTAGCACATGGCCTTACAAATGCCTCGACAGCAGTCTTGAGGCAACAAATGGACGAAAGCAACCATGATATGGTTCAAATGTTGGCACAAACTTTAAGTACAGTGCTGAACCCTCTAATACAAAACACTACTCAATCGAATCAGCAGATGACAGCGCAAATGACGCGTTTGGCTGATTTCTTTGGAGTACCCCAACCTATTCGACAGCCCCAAAGGGCGCAAATAAGGGGAAACCAGGGTGTATTCTTAGAGGAAGAAACCATTATCAACCAAGTCCAACAGCCTGTCGAAGAAAACCTTAGGGCACGATTGGAGCAACCTGTCGAGGAACCTAGGGTAATAACCCCAGAGGTAAGGTTAGTTAACAGAAACCAAAATGCTGACGAAGTAGTTCAGCATATCCAATACAAAAACATGGGTCTGGAAAATAATCTGGCAACCATGATCAAAAGGATCATGACTCAAAATGGGATGAACATGGGCTTTCGAAGGCCCAACTTTACATCCCCGCTGTCAGAATACGTGTTACAAACAGACTTACCTCCTAGATGTAAAGTCCCCAAATTCACTAAGTTCTCTGGGGACACGACAAAATCTACTGTCGAACATGTGGCGAGATACTTGATCGAAGCAGGAGATATTTCGAACAATGAAAACCTGAGGATTAAGTACTTCCCAAGTTCTTTAACAAAGAACGCTTTTACTTGGTTTACAACTCTTCCCCCCAATTCGATCCATCATTGGACCCAGTTGGAAAGATTGTTCCACGAGCAATTCTACATGGGGCAAACCAAGATAAGCCTGAAAGAATTGGCCAGTGTAAAGAGATGTTTCACTGAACCTATAGACGAATATCTAAATAGGTTTAGGTTGCTCAAAGCAAGATGTTTTACACAAGTGCCGGAACATGAGTTAGTCGAAATAGCCGCAGGCGGTTTAGATTATTCCATTAGGAAGAAGTTAGACACTCAATACCTGAGAGACATGGCCCAACTGGCCGATAGAGTTCGACAGGTAGAACGCCTCAAAGCTGAAAAAGCAAAGGCAACGAAAACTCATAAGAGAGAGAGGATAACGTATGTTGAGATGGATGACGAAGATCCAGAAACCTTCGACGATACTATAACTGTCGAAGAAGGAGAAGTCGATTTAGCGGAACTAAAACAAGGGCCACCATACTCTTGCAAACTATTAGTCCCCTCAAGTGGGAAAAATCCCACTGGTCCAGAAAGGACCAACGATAGGTTCCCCAAAAAGACTTATAGTTTTGATATTACAAAATGTGATGAGATCTTTGACTTGCTTGTAAAAGATGGCCAAATGATAATACCCCCAGGGGTAAAAGTGCCTCCTCTTGATCAAAGAAAGAAGAGAGGCTTTTGTAAATATCATAATTTTCTGGGCCATAAAACGTCTCAATGTTTTCTTTTCAGGAATCTTGTGCAAGACGCTATCGAAGAAGGAAGGTTGAAGTTTGCTAACAAGACCCCCATGGCTGTGGACTCTAATCCGTTGCAGGCTGAAGCCCACTATGCTGAACCTTCAGAGGTGAATGTGATCGAGGCATCCAGAAGCCAGTCGAAGAGGCCAGGAATCACAATGGTCGAAGTCTCAAAGGACCATGTCAACATGCCAATCTTTGGCAGTTTTTCTGGGAATTTATCCAGAAAGACAATTGAAGCGGTTCAGAAAGCGGTCGAAAGCCCAAGGCTGGAGACAGTTGGAGCCCAAAAATCTGGACCAAAACCCAGTTCTCACTTGGCCCCAGTTCAAGGCCAGACAGAGGACTTAGGGATTCAAATGAAGCAGTTGACTCTTGCCAACAAAGATACCATGCATGTCAACATGGTCGAAGTCTCTGAACCAAAAGCATCAGAGGAGGCCATGAGGCAAGAACAAGCTAACAAGACTGCTTTCCCTCGGGAGAATGAAAATCTGGCAGATTTCCTGCAAAGATGCCAGAAGAAGAAGTCAGAAGTGATGCTGTGTCCAAGATGCAGTTCAATCTTTGACAAAAAAGCTGCTGAACATATTCAAGGCGTAAGAGCAGCAAATAAGAGAAGGGAAAATGTCGATCTTCGACATGACCCCAGAAGAGCCTCCCAAAGAGGTTCAAACCAAGAAAAGAGGCCATTGACTTTCAGGCCTCCAACTAATGTGCCAGTAGATACATGGTACAAAACATCTGGTCGAAAGAGGCCAAGCGAGGAGAGATGGCACTCTTTCGATGTGCCAAGGGGTTCATCTTTAACACAAAAGAAAGAGCCTCAAGTTGCTGCCCCTAAAGTTACACAGGTGTCAAGCAACTACAAAGGGAAAAACCCCATGTCTCGATCTCAATGGAGGAGATACCAGAGGCGACGAAAAGCTGAGAGGGAGGCTGCTAATGAACCAAAAGCAGAAACCAGTTTAAATGTTCCTCTAAGGAAGCAAAGGAAACCTCTGGAAAGAGAGCCAGTAACCAACAGGCTAGTTTGGCCTAACCAAGGTGAAATTGAAGACGAAGATGGTTCTGAGTCTGATGATACTTTGGACATCATGGTGAATATAGTCTCAGTGCTGCCCAGAGAGTTCAACCGACAGGTGGAGGTCGAAACAAGTGATTGGGAAGTGGAGCAAGAAATGGCCAAACATAGGCCAGTGTGCTATTTCGTCATGGACAATGGCACTACTGAGGAACAAAATGGGTTCTTCGAACCACCTACAGAGGCGATGAAAAATCACCTCAAGCCTTTATTTATAAGGGCTAAACTCGAAGAAACCACAGTGAATAAAATCTTGGTGGATTGTGGGGCAACCATCAACATTATTCCTCACTTTATGCTAAGGAAGATAGGCAAAAGGGATGAGGACATCAAGCCTCACAACATGGTCCTGTCGAACTATGAAGGCGGCATATGGACCACTATGGGAGTGATCCAACTGGATATCAAGGTGGGATCTATCCTTCGACCAACAATGTTTATGGTCATATCGGCCAAACCTAACTATAATCTTTTGTTGGGCCGTGAATGGATTCATGGTGTTGGAGCTGTGCCATCATCAATGCACCAGAGGTTGCTGCTATGGCGTCCAGATGGGATGGTCGAAAACATAGAAGCAGATCAAAGCTATTACCTGGGCGAAGTGAATCACCTAGGGCTGGCAGATTTCGACAAGAACTTGGCTCACATAGGGCCATGTCCAACACCTGACTTCGACTTGGCGCCAGCGCCAAATACTTTTTGTTCCCTATACCTGCACCCTGAGCATGGTTTTCAATGGGACAGAG